CTTGCCGCCGCCGCCGCGGAGCCCGGCCAGGTCAGTGCCGGGCGGGGTGGGGGGTGGAGGACTGGCCTTGCCGCCGCCGCGGCCTCGGGGAGATTGAGGGGGGGGATGGAGGAGACGGAGCTCTTCTCCCCCTCCGGGGGCGCGGGGGGATTGGGGGGGGGGATGGAGGAGACGGAGCTCTTCCCCCCCCCCCCCCGTGAGTATCGCGGGTCCCCCTCTTGTTCTAATCTACTATTCCAAATAAGAAATAGTCTACGAAATGATCCCTGCCTACGGGTGTCCCCACAAGTCAGCACTTTCCACCACGCGCCCCCCCCCCAAATGGGGAATAGTGTCCCGGAGCCAGTATGGGAGAAAAGTTCTTCGCTGGGTTCAAGGTAAAACCCTGAAGGGAGGCTGTCTTGTGGTTTCTTTTCCAACGGCCAGGAACTCCCGGTGAGCCAGCCAAATGAACCACCTCCGCCAAACCCTTGAAGACAGTTAAATGGCCCCAAACTGGTTTGACATCAGCCATCCAGTGGTATCCCCAACCCAGTGGTCTGATGGCTTGCCGAGGTCTTTCGGGTCCTTGGGGAGGGCACGTGAGTGTTTGTTGCTCTCTGGTTTAATGGCTCCATTTGGTTTTGGCAGTCCAACAAACTGAGGACCAAGACTCTGAGAAACACCCGGAACCCCACGTGGAACGAGACGCTGGTGTACCACGGCATCACAGAGGAAGACATGCAGCGGAAAACACTAAGGCATGCACAGGGTTTGGTGGGGGCGAATGGTGGGGGGGTATGTTGTCTCATCGCTGGGGGGCGCGTATGAGCTTTGAGACTCAAAGCTCCCTTTCTCAGGCAGGCATCTGACGCGGGAAGCTCTGACTCCCAGAAGAGCCAGTCTGGTGCGGTGGTGAGGAGCGCAGACTCTAATCTGGGAGAACCGGGTTTGATTCCTCGACTCCTCCGCTTTCAGTGGCTGGTGTGACCTGGGCCTGTCACAAGTTCTCTCAGAGCTGTTCCCTCAGGAGCAGTCCTCGAAAGGGCTCTCTCCCCGCCTACCTCACAGGGTGTCTGTTCTGGGGAGGGGAAGGGAAAGGAGTTTGTCAGCCACTCTGAGACTCCTTCGGGTAGTGAAGGGCAGGGTATACATCCAATCTCCTCCTCCTCCTCCCCCTTCCCCCGAAAATCTTGTTGCTCTCCAAGGTGCTGACCTGTCCTGGCTAGTGTCTATATCTTGGCTGCTAAGCGGGGTTGGCCCTGGCTAGTGTTCAGATGGGAGACCACGAAGGTATACCAGGGATGTTACACGGAGGCAGACAGTGGCAAACCAGCGCTGAACTTCTCTTGCCTTGCAAGCCCCACTAGGGGTCTCCGTAACTGTTGGAGACGGCTGAAAATGACAAACTGTCATCGTTGATGAGAGGGACAACAGACCCAACATTTCAAAAGACGTGGAAAAAACTGTATGATTGGTACAATATAAATGCATAGCCAGTTTGGTGTGGTGTCTACGTGCGCGAACTCTAATCTGGGAGAACCGGGTTTGATTCCCCACTCCTCCACTTGCAGCTGCTGGATGACCTTGGGCAAGCCGTAGTTCTCATAAGAGCTGTCCTTGAAAAAGAGCAGTTTCTGTCAGAGCTCTCTCAGCCCCACCTACCTCTCAGGGTGTCTGTTGTTGGGAGGGGAAGGGAAAGGAGTTTGTAAGCCGCTCTGAGACTCCTTTGGGTAGTGAAGGGCAGGGTAGAAATCCAATCTCCTCCTCCTCCTCCTCTTTTCTTCTTCTTCTTCTTCTTCTTCTTCTTCTTAAAGTAATGAAATTTTTGGTATTATTAATCTCTTTTAGTTAAATAGAAACTATGGGAAAAAGATTATAGAGAAACTTAAGCAAATTTATAGAAATTCTTTAAATATGGTAATAGAGTTATAAGAACATATACTGATCTCTTTGTATGTTTTATGTGTGTAAGTGGATGTTTGTTATGTTGTATGTTTGTTTGTTGGTGTATAATATGAAAAATAATAAAAGTGTACCTTATGGGTACTTAAAAAAAACCAAACTATAAGGCTGCGATCACATGCGCCTTTAGATCCAACATAGATGCGAATGCCTGAAGGATCTAAAGGGAGCAATCAGACAGGAACATCTGGGAAGCGTCCCGCAGTCGTCAGCAAGCCGTGCTGCTCCGCCATGGAAGCAGAGTTAAAAGACACCGGGGAAATTCTGGTAGTAAATAGGTTCCGACAGGCCACGAAGAGCTTGTACCTTGGCTCATTGTGTGGCTATTCCCTCTAAGGCCCTAGAGGGGAAATATAGAAAGATACCATATGAAGACAGGTGCTGCCCATGTTCTATGGGAGAAGTGGAATTGACGTTCCAGATGTTCTTCCGCTGTCCTCTTCATCAAGCTTACATGGACAAGCTTATCACCCCCCTCTTAGACAGACCAGCACTTGATGCAGATAGTGCCTATCTTGAGAGACTTTTGGTAGAGGAAAATCAGCAAATCTCTAGACAAAAAGCTAAATTCTGCGCACGTCTGGTAAAATTCCACAACAAAGCAGATTAAGCATAACCCTTATCTACCTTCCACAGAACTCATAATCAGTTCAGTCGTGGATATTTTATCATTTTTGATCCAATGGATTTTTAAACTTTTAATGATTTTAAGGTTATATGTCTAAATATCTTTTAAGCGGAAAGCAAATTTGTTTGCGCCTAATGAATATGTAGGAGCTGCGGTGGCTCAAGTGGTTAAGACGCTGAACTGCAGGCTGTGGAAGGTCAGTAGTTCAGCAGTTTGAGACCCGAGTGTGCCGCATGACGGAGTGAGCTCCCGTCTCTGGTCCCAGCTCCTGCCAACCTAGCAGTTCGAAAGCAAGAAATTGCAAGTAGATCAATAGGTACCACTTCGGTGGGAAGGTAACAGCGTTCCGTGCGCCGTGGTGTTTAGTCATGCCGGCCACATGACCACGGAAACGTCTTTGGACAGCGCTGGCTCTTCGGCTTTGAAACGGAGATGAGCGCCGCAACCCTAGAGTCGGACTCGACTGGCTTTCGAGCAAGGAAACCTTTTTAATGAATATGTATTTCTTTGATCATTGGTCTTGGACCGTAAATTTAACAATAAATAAACAAATAAACATTGATAGATGGACTTTCAGGATGGACTTCCCCCTGTCTGACCGCTCCAACACGCTCTCAAGCTGTCGGGGGGGTCTGCTCAGGCCATCCCGGCTCGGTGCCATTCCCCCCCCCCCTTGCAGTGTGCGCATCATCGCATAGTCCATAGGGGGCCCTCAGTGCGGAGGCACGATTCCTCATTTATGTGCACGGGAAACGAGCAGCCAACCCCTCCGACTCACCCGAGGTTGCGTCGGATCACACAGTGACAGCCCGCAGTTACAACGGGAGGTGTGACCTCGCAACTGCAGGTCAAATTCCTCTGGAGGGAATGGCCTCGCTCCCCCCCCCGCTCCAACTGGCGCGTGTGACCGCAGCCTGTGACTTGAGGGTCCTTTCCACCCCCCCCCCAAGTGCTACTGGACTTGGATCTAGCGGTTCTACTGCAGAACCTCTGAAACCAGCCACCCTCCAAAACAGGGTTCTTTTTACAATGTCCCTTTTTGTTGGGTGTTACAAGTCAAAACACTTCAGTATTTACAGGGTTAATGATGTTTGTTAAGTCACATGTTTGTTTGTAACCAATCTGTTTAGACAAGAGAGTGCCCGGGAACTTTGGAGCTAGTTTGCTAGTCTGATTGGAAACCAAGGTGTCAAGTATTTAGCATATTGGCTTCTCCTCCCGGCTCTTTGTTCTGACTGAGAAGGAGACGCCATTCCCCTCTTCCCGTTTTACCTTTTAGCCGCAAGGATGTAGGCATATTAGCTCTTTGTTATTTTGTATCCTGTGTGCCTTTTCCCCATGTTAGGTTTATAGTAAACTTTTATATTTTAAAACACACCATGGACTCAGTCTCTGAATACTCTGCTGACTTACTCAAAAAGAATCCCGACACTTTTCCCTGGTTCCTCGCAGGATTTCCGTATGCGACGAGGACAAGTTTGGCCACAACGAGTTCATCGGCGAGACGAGGGTGGCCCTGAAGAAGGTGAAGCCCAACCAGAAGAAGAACTTCAGCATCTGTCTGGAGAGAGTCATACCGGTACCCGTTGCTTCCCTGCATTTACTGTACAGTTGAGACACGTTTAAGGGGGCAGGGTGCCACGGTCCGTTCCTACAATGGTGGCGCTTCTCGACAGTGCAAGGGATGTCTTTCCACGTGGCAGAAGTCCACTCCCCCCCCCCGAAACTGCTTTGCAGCAGATTCAGAATCGGAAAAATTTCCCCAGCAAGTCCTTGTCTTGGGGGATTATCCACTGCCACAAGAGGCAGTGGTGGGCAGATTTATGGAGGAGAGGTCTATTAAGAGCTATTGGCAACGATGGCTAAATAAAGCAGATGTGTTCACGCGTGCATTTTTGCCCCTAGAAATATTTAGGTCCTTTGAAACGCAAGCGGCATTTTTTAAGACAGTTTGGTGTCATGGTTAGGAGTGCGGACTCTAATCTGGGAGAACCGGGTTTGATTGCCCACTCCTCCTCTAGCAGCTGCTGGATGACCTTGGGCAAGCCGTAGTTCTGTCAGAGCTGTCCTTGAAAAAGAGCAGTTTCCGTCAGAGCTCTCTCAGCCCCGCCTACCCCTCAGGGTGTCTGTTGTGGGGAGGGGAAGGGAGAGGAGATTGTGAGCCGCTCTGAGACTCCTTCGGATAGTGAAGAGCGGGGTATACATCCAATCTCCTCTATACAGAGCGAGCTGTGGGTGAGAGGGCGGCATGGGTCCTCTGGGCCAGGCTCACCACCAGACTTCTCAAGCTGCCTTCTGCACATGATTAAAGAAAGCCTTTCCTCCCCCCCCCCTCTCCGACCCAATGCCAACCCACAGATGAAGCGCGCAGGGACCACCAGCTCCTCGCGAGGAATGGCCTTGTATGAAGACGAGGTAAGTCGTCGTGCCTCCGCTGCGGAAGGATCCAGCTTGGTTGCCTGGGATGGGAGTTGAAGGAGATGAATAGGAAACTGAAGTCAAGGTCTAATGCTTTGCACTAGTGGGTATTCTAGCTTCATGCTGCGTAGCCGATTGTTGCCCCCCCCCCCGGCAATAGCCTGGACCTGCCCGGAAGTGGGCATGAATGAACCCGACCCCAAAACTTTCTGAGACTGCCTCGGGCCCATTGCCTTCCTCCCTCTGGTCTCTCTTGTGAACGACCTCTTTTCTATTGCTCCTTGGTTAGCTCGGCCTGCTGCCGCACTCCTTTCCTCTTAGGTCTGGCTTCCTTCCCCAGCTGTTCTGTGACATAAGAACATAAGAGAAGCCAATGTTGGATCAGGCCAATGGCCCACCCAGTCCAACACTCTGTGTCACATACAGGGGCCAAAAATACCAGGTGCCCTCAGGAGGTCCATAAGTGGGGCCAGGACACCAGAAGCCCTCCCACTGTTGCCCCCACCCCCCCAAGCACCAAGAAGGCAGAGGATAAGAGACGCCATTGTTGGATCAGGCCAATGGCCCACCCAGTCCAACACTCTGTGTCACACAGTGGCCAGAAATACCAGGGGCCCTCAGGAGGTCCACCAGCGGGGCCAGGACACTAGAAGCCCTCCCACTGTTGCCCCCCCAATCACCAAGAAGACAGAGCATCCCTTGCCCCAGACTGAGAGTTCCTACCACTACTTTGTGGCTAAGAGCCACTGATGGACCTCTGCTCCAGATGTTTATCCAATTCCCTCTTATAAGAACATAAGAGAAGTCAATGCTGGATCAGGCCAGCGGCCCATCCAGTCCAACACTCTGTTGTCACACAGCGGCCAGAAATACCAGGTGCCATCAGGAGGTGCATCAGCGGGACCAGGACACTAGAAGCCCTCCCACTATTGCCCCCAACCCCCAAGAATACAGAGCATCCCTTGCCCCAGACCGAGAATTCCTACCAATACCTTGTGGCTAATAGCCACTGATGGACTTCTGCTCCATATGCTTATCTAATTCCCTCTTGAAGCTGCCCATGCTTGTAGCCGCTGCCACCTCCTGTGCTGTGACATCACAGCAACTCAGCCAACCGCTGCTCGAGCCATCACTGCTACAAGGTGGCTTAAGGTGCTATAAAGAGGGCAGGTTAAAACCCAAGAATCAGTGTAATGATCAGCCCAAGCCGCTGTTCTTCATCTTAGAGGACTGTGGGCACCCAAATAGCCCAGAGTCTTCGCCAGCTCTCAGATGACTGTGGAAGGGTTAAACCTCCTCTCCCCTCCCTGTATGGCCCCTGTATTTCCCTGCATGCTTGAAATGAAGATTTTGAAGATGCTGGAAAGATCCAGCCTAGGCTGTCTTCCGCTCTTTGTCCCTAAGGGCTGTGGGATAGCTTCACAGCCGCCAGCATAGTTTTACAGAGGAATCTACGAATAATTGAATTCCAAAAGGGAGGCAGTCAATGCTCCCCTCTAAGCTGTGGAGTCTTGTGAGCAAAAAATCTACTTTGTGAGCTCCTGGCATTAAAGTTGTGAGCGAGCCATTTGGCTACTGCATAAATTAGCTTGCTCTGGAGCCATCCTTCCCGAGCTAAGACAGAAATGTGTGAGCCAGAGACTAAAAAACTGTGAGCTAGCTCACACTAACTCAGCTTAGGGGGAACACTGGATGCAGTGTGAATGGAACAGCAGCCGACTCACTGGATGCAGAGAGGATTCAGAGTCTTGGCGGAATCTCGCAGTGCAAATCTCTCTCCCCTCCCCCGCTGTTGTTTTCTTGAGCCGGGCGCCCTCTGGTGGCCTGATTTCTGTTCCGTCACAATTTTGGACGGCTCTCCAGCAATGCAAGTGCTGATTCACTCTCGGTCACTGCAGTGCCGAGTCACAACTTGCCAGAGTGTGAAGCGCTGGTCAGCCGCCAAGGATGGAGCATTCCCACGGTTCCTGGCCCGATGCTGCTCGTGGGATGTGTGTGTGTGTGTGTGTGTGTGTGAGCGGCATTCATATCCCTGCACAGAATGTGAATCATATGCATGTGTGAATGTGTGAGTTTAAGGTCATTTTGGACATTGCTGGACTGGCAAAGAACCAACGCCGTGTGCAGGATCCACCTTGTTTGACAGGGATTAGGATTGCGCCGTCCTGCCCAATCCAGTGTTTACCCAGTTCTGAAAAACACCCATCTAAACGCATGACAGGGTTGGATCGGCCCATTCACTTACAGGGGGTGTTTCAAAAGGGCTGCTGCTTTGGAGGGCGGCTGCAGCAGGAACATGCCGAGTTGCTGGCCCGTTGCAATGGTGGGGCTACTGGGGCCTCTCCCTCCTTAGTTAAAGGGTTCCCCGTTTCTTAAAGGCCTCTCGCTTCTTCCCAAAAAACATTTAAAGGGATCAGCTGGAGGGCCCTTTAAATCTTGCAGGAGGGGAGGGAGAGGGGCATGCACCCCCCCTTCATTATGGCAAATAATAATGGCAGCCCCACAAGCCACAAGCCACAAAACCCTGGCTACAGGGAGTGTTCCCTCTAAGCCGAGTTAGTGTGAGCTAGCTCATGGTTTTTTAGCCTCTGGCTCACACGTTTTGGTCTTCGCTCTAGAACATAAGAGATGCCAATGTTGGATCAGGCCAAAGGCCCCTCCAGTCCAACACTCTGTATCACACAGTGGCCAGAAATTACCAGTGCTATCAGGAGGTCCACCAGTGGGGCCAGGACATTAGAAGCCCCCCCACTGTTGACCCCCCCAAGCACCAAGATGACAGAGCATCACTTGCCCCAGAGTCCCTATCTATACCTTGTGGCTGAGTTAGTGAGGTTTTTTAGCCTCCGGCTCACACGTTTTTGTCTTAGCTCAGGAAGGAGGGCTCCAGAGGAAACTAACTGATGCAGCAGCCAAATCGCTCGCTCACAGCTTTAATGGCAGTGGCTCACCCAGTAGAATTTGTGCTCACAAGACTGCACAGCATAGAGGGAACGTTGGCTATGGGCCTGCTGAGTTGAGTGGGCACTGGTGCTGGAGGGCGGCTGGTGGTCGGGAACTTGCCGAGCAGCTGCCAGTGGTGGTGGTTGGGAACACGCTGAGCTGAGCCACTACTGGTGCCGGAGGGTGGCTGGTGGGTGGGAACGTGCCAAGCAGCTGCCAGTGGTGGTGGTTGGGAACACGCTGAGCTGAGCCACTACTGGTGCCGGAGGGTGGCTGGTGGGTGGGAACGTGCCAAGCAGCTGCCAGTGGTGGTGGTTGGGAACACGCTGAGCTGAGCCACTACTGGTGCCAGAAAGTGGCTGGTAGTCGGGAACGTGCCGAGCAGCTGCCAGTTGTGGTGGTTGGGAACACGCTGAGCCACTACTGGTGCCGGAGGGTGGCTGGTGGGTGGGAACGTGCCGAGCAGCTGCCAGTGGGGGGGGTTGGGAACACGCTGAGCCACTACTGGTGCCAGAAAGTGGCTGGTAGTCGGGAACGTGCCGAGCAGCTGCCAGTGGGGGGGGTTGGGAACACGCTGAGCCACTACTGGTGCCAGAAAGTGGCTGGTAGTCGGGAACGTGCCGAGCAGCTGCCAGTGGGGGGGGTTGGGAACACGCTGAGCCACTACTGGTGCCAGAAAGTGGCTGGTAGTCGGGAACGTGCCGAGCAGCTGCCAGTGGGGGGGGTTGGGAACACGCTGAGCTGAGCCACTACGGGTGCTGGAGGGCGGCTGGTGGGCGGGAACGTGCTGAGCTGAGCCACTATTTTTATTTATTTATTTATTTTTCGCACTTTTATTCTGCCTATCCCATAGACGGGCTCAGGGCGGGGTTTCAACATTTCAGTCAATACAATACAACAAAAGCCATTGTCGGTGCCGGAGGGCTGTTGGTGGGCGGGAACACGCTGAGCCGAGCCACTACTGGTGCCAGAGGGTGGCTGGTGAGCAGGAATATGCTTATCTGAGCCGCCAATTCAGTGCTCCCTCTAAGCTGAGTTAGCGTGAGCTAGCTCACAGTTTTTTAGCCTCTGGCTCACACCTTTTTGTCTTCGCTCCGGAAGGATGGTGGCTCCAGGGCAACCTAATTTATGCAGCAGCCCAATTGCTCGCTCACACCTTTAATGCCGGTAACTCACAAAGTAATGCCGCTAACTCACACAGCTTAGAGGGAGCACTGCCGGAAGCCCTGCAGAGGTCACTCAGGTCGGCTCCTAGCAGTAGCAGGGCAGCTTTTGTCCGTGGGTGCTGCAGCTGGCTGTGTCCAAGCCACGTGGTCTCCTCCGCAGGGCTGTCAGCACTGTGGAGTCTCAGCTTAGCATGCTCCCGGGCCATTTGAACGTCTCTGTCTGCCCCGTTGCATACCTTGTCTGGTAGAGGCTAAACAGTCGCGTCATCGCTGAATATGACTTCTTTTTTTTTTTTTAACATTATCTTTACTCATTTTTAAACAAGTAAAATAAAATACCAATTAACAGCTTGATATACATCCTCTGATTGCAAAAACGTTCCAATATTTCCCGATATATTGCCTTCTGTTTTCTTAACATCACATAAAACTTATATATGTCTGATTACATATGATATGACACTTGTATCATATTTAATCCCCATCAAATGCATTCCCCTACTATCTTTCCTTTAACCATCTATAAAACTTTGACCAGTATTTTTCAAAATCTTCCCAACCTTTTTCTTTTAAAAGGAACGTTAGTTTCTCCATCTCAGCTACCTCTAAAACTTTTGTAATCACTTCTTCTCTCGTAGGAGTTTCTTCATTTTGCCACTTACTGGCATACAAAATCCGGGCTGCTGTAATAATATGCATCACTAAATAACTTTCATCTTTCTTAAAGGTATCTGGGATAAAGTTTAATAAAAAACATTCTGGTACTAATGATATTGTTCTAGATAACATCTCTTCAATCATCTCTTTGACCAGCGTCCAAATTTTTTTTGCTTTGTTACATAACCACCAAAGATGAAAAAATGTTCCGTTCCTCTGTTTACATTTCCAACAGTTTTTCCCAATTTTCATATCAAACTTATTCAATCTAACTGGGGATATATGCCATCTGTAGAACATTTTTATAATATTCTCTTTAAAAGAAGTTGCTCTAACAAATTTTATGTTTTTCTGAATATGATTCCGAGTCTCGGAAAGCAGTGATTTTTCTCTCTCCTCTCCCCCTCTCTGCTTCCTGCAGATGGATCCCGGGAACAACGTGGAGGAGCGAGGGAAGATCTTGGTGTCCCTCATGTACAGCACCCAGAAAGGCGGGCTCATCGTCGGCATCGTGCGGTGCGTCCACTTAGCGGCGATGGATGCCAACGGCTACTCCGACCCGTTTGTTAAACTGTAAGCTGTGCTTTCGTCTCTCGGGCTCAAGAGACGGGGGGACCCATCTGGGTAGAGCTGGGATTATCTGTGTGGGCTGCAGAAGTTCTCTGGGTCGGCACGTGGGCTTTGACAGGCCCAGGGTCCCCCCAGTCACAATTTCCCCAGTGTTTCTGAACATGCAAAGAGGGGCTGAAAAAAAATAGTGAAGGAGCCGCTGATTTTACTGGCAAATGGGCACCCTCCTCCGGGAACTTTCCTCTGGAACTTGCACAGGGGAAATCTCTAGAGAGTTGTCCCCCCCCCTCAGCATGTGAAGAAGAAGAAGAAGAAGAGGAGGAGGAGGAGGAGATTGGATTTATACCCCGCCCATCACTTAGAATGGCTTACAATCTCCTTCCCTTCCTCTCCCCACAACAGACACCCTGTGAGGTAGGTGGGGCTGAGAGAGCTCTCTCGAGGACTGCTCTTGAGAGAACAGCTCTGAGAGAACTTGTGGCTGACCCAGGGTCACCCAGCTGGCTGTATGTGGAGGAGTGGGGGAATCAAACCCGGTTCTCCCAGATTAGAGTCTGCGCACTTCACCACTACACCAAACTGGCTCTCAAAATGAAAGAACAGTCCGGAATGAGGGGAAATGCTCCCCTAAGCAGGATTTCATCCAAGCATCACCATTTATTTTATTATTTAATTTTTTGCTTCATTTTTTTGCTGAAAGAGTCGGGTCTGTTTAGCCTGGGAAAGAGAAGGCTCAGAGGGGACATGATGGCAGTCTTCAAATATCTGAAGGGCTGTATTGTAGAAGATGGAGCGGATCTATTCTCTCTTGCTACGGACTGCAAGACTAGATCTAGTGGGTGGAAATCACAAGGGAGTCGATACTGGCTAAAGGATGCTCCTTCGCTGGACGTTTTCAAGCAGAGGCTGGACGACCATCTTTTGGATTTGTTGTAGGCAATGCTCCCTCTAAACTTTGGAGTCCTGTGAGCAAAAATTCTGCCTTGTGAACTCCTGGCATTAAAGTTGTGAGTGAGCGATTTGGCTGTTGCATAAATTAGTTTGCTCCGGAGCCATCCTTCCTGAGCTAAGACAAAAATGTGAGCCGGAGGCTAAAAAACTGTGAGCTAGCTCATGCTAACTCAGCTTAGAGGGAACACTGGTTGTAGGTATGTGCATTGGCTCTCCGTCTCCCGAGCTGAAACGAGGCCCTTTTTGCATCCTCTCGTTCACAGTTTCTTGAAGCCCGACATGGGGAAGAAAGCCAAGCAGAAGACGCAGATTAAAAAGAAGACTTTGAACCCCGAGTTTAACGAGGTGAGGCTGGGCAGCAGGCGGGTGGGGGGCCTTTCTCTCCTCACCACGTTTTCTTAGACCCCGGTTAGCAAAAAGACCCGGACGGCACAGCAAAACCGAACGACTGACTGGGATATTGCAGCCCGACATTATTCCCTCACCTTCACACAGCTGCTTTTCTAAAACCAAAACTCTGGAATGCAGCTTCTTTGTTTGCACGTGACTGTGAAACAGGCAGGTCCTTCAGAGCTCTCTTTGTTTTTTGGTTACCTGTTGTCAGGTTTCCCCACAGCATCAATGAAGTACACTCTTGCAGGAAGGTTTTACTTTATTCGAAGCTATAGGTGCATGTACAGGATCCCTGTTAGGAATGAGGGGGGAAGCAACGAGCATGACAGGTTATAGTACATTCAAACAGCTGAGGCTCAATCGCGGGACTTCCCCCGCGCGCCATCGGGCCTGGGAGCAAACGCTTCTAGGCTGCATAACATATCTCCTTCCCACGGCCCTCCGTGAGATCACCCAAGCAACTATCCAGCAGCAACCTCCTGTGGCCTTGAGAGATATAGACGTTCCAGCAGCTAAGCAATTAAGCGCATCAACAGGTCGACATATGAAAACGAAAGCAAGCAAGCGCATACATGGGGAACCCAACAGAAAAGAAATGTGGCAGCTTGCTGACACCTATCCTTTGCGAATATCCCTTTGTTGGACCAAACATCCTGAAAGAGAAATCCTGTTTAGGTGCACAAAAGAATGACACGATGTATGTAAAACTTATTCAGTTGCAATGAGTACATGCTTCTTGTTCGTTTTGTGTTGGTGTGTCTTGTTATTGTAATGCCTGTCTTTTTCCCCTGTAGAAAAATCAATAAAGAATTATTTAAAAAACCTCCACGAACGGACTATGCATATCAGGTCTCATTTCGTTTGCAACTTTGTCAGAGTGTGTGGCGTTGAGGTTTCTATGCGGTTCGTTCATTTGGCAGGCAGTGTGGCCATGTTCCATAGTGACTATCATCAAGTCCATTGACGTTAATGGATTTGATGACAGTCACTATGGAGGACCTAAACAGCATGATAAAAAGTAGAGACATCACCCTGCCAACAAAAGTCTGCATGGTCAAAGCAATGGTATTCCCAGTAGTCATGTATGGCTGCGAAAGTTGGACTATAAGGAAGGCCGAGCGCCGACGAATAGATTCTTTTGAACTATGGTGCTGGCGAAGACTCTTGAGAGTCCCTTGGACTGCAAGGAGATCACATCAGTCAATCCTAAAAGAAATCAACCCTGACTGTTCCCTGGACACTGAAACTGAAGCTCAAATACTTTGGCCACCCAATGAGAAGGGCGCACTCACTGGAGAAGACCCTGATGCTGGGAAAGATTGAAGGTCAAAGAAGACGGGGACGGCAAAGGATGAGATGGTTAGACAGTGTCATAGATGCAACGAACATGAAACTGAGCAAACTTCAGAGGACGGCGGAAGACAGGAGGGCCTAGCGGGATCTTGTCCATAAGGTCGCGAAGAGTCGGACTCGACTGTGCGACTGAACAACAACAGCAACTATGGAGGATGGCCATGCTGCTTGTTGGATGAGTGAATTGTATGGAAATTTCGGCGCTGTGCACTCTGACGGAGCTGTGGACGAAGCGAGTCCTGATATGCATAGTCCGTTAGTGTTGATGGCGTTATTATGAAGGATTTTTGAGAGACTGAATTACTCCAAGTAAACTGAAAGAAACCAGGAATCTTCTGGCCCTAAATGAGCAGGAGGAAGGCACAGCTAAATCCCATTGTAACTGCCATCTGAGCAGGGACTTCTTAGTTGGTGCCCCACTGTAGTGCAGTACCCTCCACCAGAAGGCCTCTTTGGCCCCGATACTTTTCTCTAAGTTTAAAAACTGAGCTTACTCTGCCAAGCTCTCTCTGCCTACTGCCTTGGTACCCAGAGTTTGGTTGTTGGATTAATGCAAGGGGTTGTTAGTTTGCTAGTTGACTTGCTTGTTGATTTGGTGGATGGTATCTTGCATTTTCAGTCAAAAAGCCGGTTGGTAAGTTAATGAGCAAACCTTGTGTTTTACAGGAGTTTTTCTATGATGTCAAGCACAGCGACCTTGCCAAGAAACAGCTGGATATCTCAGTTTGGGATTACGACATCGGCAAGTCCAACGACTACATTGGTAAGGGTCTAAAAAGCTGTTAATATCAGGAATGACCACCAAGATGAAGCATAAAGCCAGGGCCTGCCTGCATTGGTGACCAAGGGGGGCACTGAAGTTTTGTCTCCGGGAAAACCAAAATCCAACAGATCTGCTCTGCTAATGACAGCACTTTCCCCCCAGCAGAAGGGACTTCTGTTGCAAGAATCCGTGTTTTTTTTTTAAACTCCTTTATACCCCAACTGCTAGGGCTGCCAAGTCTCCCCAGGGGGTGGGGATTCTCCTGCTAAAAGGGCCCCCAATCCGCCAGTCCAGATCCGGCCGGCGGGGGGAACCCCACCCCTGAAGTGGCCAGATCAGGCCGACGTGCCCGGCGTGATGACGTTGCCCAGAAGTGACATCATCACGCTGGGCACGTCGCTGGGCGACGCTCTAGCAATCGCCCTGAAAACTCTATGGTACCATAGAGTTTTTAGGGCGATTACCAGAGCATCGCCCGGCAACGTGCCCAGCGTGATGACGTCACTTCCGTGCCCAGCGCACAAAGACTCCTGGAGGGGGCCCTGGACTCCCCCAGTATTACTTCGGTAAGACTTGGCAACCCTACCAACTGCCCTGCCCCGGATGGCCCAGGCTGGCTTCATTCTCAGAAGCTAAGCAGAGTCAGCTTTGGGTTAGGATTTGGATGGGAGACCACTAAGAAAAGCCAAGGTTGCTACACAGAGGCAGGCAACGACAAACCAACTCTGTTCGTCTCTTCCCATGAAAACCCTATAGCAGGGGTGTCAAACAGAAGGCCCTGGGGCCAGAACCGGCCCGCCCAGGCCTCTTACCCGGCCCACAAGCTGCTGGCATATATGGAAATGTCAGGTACTCCCCCTTTTATGGTATCCCTTGGGGGAAAAACTAGTCTTTATTGGATGCATTTATTGGGCTTTTGTGGGTTCCCCAGTAAATCAATTGCTTTCACTGCTAGAAATCAATTGCTTTTGTTTGTATTTTGAGCAGGGGTCATTTTGTAGAAAAAGAGGTGCAGGAGCTCATTAGCATAGTTTATTAGCACAACTTATTTGCATATGCCACACCCCCTGACATCGTCAGAAGTGTGTCGGAAGCCAACACCCACCACTCAGGCTCCACTGGACTGTTTTGGATTGCTAGCTATTGGGGGGGAGGGAACGTGCAGATCTGTCCTCGCAGAGGAGGGAGAGCTTGTACCTGAATAAAACTTAAGTCTTAAAGGTGCCACTGGACTGTTTTGGATTGCTAG